GGAGGCACAGGGAGGTGAATGTTTGGCATCCTGTATGGCCATCACCCCAACCCGTCATTATTGTAGCTCAGGGAATGGAGATGTGGGGAGATGGGTTTTGGGGTATCCCTATGGCCATCACCCCAATCCATCACTGCTGTGGCACAGGGAATGGAGATGTAGGGAGATGGCTTTTGGGGCATCCCTATGGCCATCACTTCAATCCATCATTATTGTAGCACAGGGAATGGAGACATGGGGAGATGGCTTTTGGGGCATCCCTATGGCCATCACTTCAATCCATCATCACTGTGATGCAGGGACTGGAGGCACGGGGCACCAGGGTACCTCTTACAGCCATCCCCAGGGCAATATCCCCCCTGTTCAGCCCACCTGTGTGCTGGACAGGTACCTCAGGCCCCGCTGGACACTCCCCTCTCCTCTCAGACACCAGTCGTACTCAAACCTGGCTGGTAGTAAATGAGCAACAAAGTAGCTTGGGGAGGAATTTCCAGCTCAGTGAGGAGTTTACAGGCCGGTGATTAAAAAATAGTTATTAAAAAAAAATTAGACAGAGAAAAAAAAATTAGCTGTGCCGCCGGCACGTCTTCCAGGATCTGCCGTAACAGATTCGTCCGAGCCGGTTAACGGTATTTGCGGTTTGCAAGATGCTACATGTCTGGGGAAGATGACAGACACGTTATTATCACCTCTCGCCTGCGATCTGCCCCAACCTGTCCCAGGATGCAGCTCTGCAGCTGCTTGCTGGGGAGTGCAAGGAAATTAGCAGCCGGAGGCAGCACTTTTCTTCTCTCTGCCTTGCCAGGCCAGTGGCTTTATTGGGGATCCATTGACTGCAGTCCTGGACACGTCTTGAGTCAAGCTAATGAGAAGCCTGGAATGTAGGAGAAGAGGAGGAGGAGGAGGGGAGGATTTGTGGAAAAAGCAATTGTTGAGCAAATCATTTCCTTCTAGAGGGAAAGGAGGCCTTGGCTGCGCCTTCCCCAGCAGGCAAGTCTAGACGCTTAGGTGTCAACAGTTGAAGATAAATAAGATTTTATCAGCTCCAAATCTGTTGGGACACATCCTCCTAGCGGTTCTGCTGCCCAGGGACAGCCGGGCGAGATGGACTTCGCCAGGAAGACTTTCCAGCAGAGGATTCAGGTTATTTTTTGTGTGAGGCTGTCAGCATTCATGGGGAAAACCACCTCTCCCTGCTCATTTCCTGCGTGGGGAGGTAGCCCCGGGGCTGAGCAGTGGTGGCCTCTGGAGCCATCTCCTGGTCCTCTCTCAGGGTGGGCAGTGATGATGCTGAGGCTCCACGTCAGCGCTGCATCCATGAGCCGTTGTGGGGCATTTACTCAGTGGAAGCTTGGGGTGTCCAGAACATTTCCTTGGGGCAGCAGCACCAGGATAACCACGGTGAAGCCTCACAGTGGCCGGTGGCACCATGGGGTGACTGGTTTATGTCCTGTTCCATCTGGCAGTGGTGCAGTATGGTCTCACCCAAAAAACAGCTGCATTTCAGACACATCCAAAGGCCCTTTGTGGTACTAAGCTCTTGGGGAAACAGAGCTTAGAGATGATAGGCTGCTAGGAGTTAAATAATTTGGCTTTTCCATTTTTTTGGCTTATTCCCAGTACTCTGGACAGACAGCAGTAGCAGGGAAGGGACAGAGACAGAGCTGGCATTACAGTATCGGCCCAGAAGTTGAGGGCAACACTGCGAGCTGCAGGAAATCCCAAAGGAATAGGGGTTCTGTGTGTTTCCATAGGCTCCAGGGAAGACTGTCAGCGCTGCAGCTGCTTTGTGCTGGTTCAATCAACCCAGCCTTCACAAGCCACAGAAACCTTTTGTGTTCCGCAAACACATGGTAATACTCAAAACAGAGAGTCTCCAATGTTTTCCAGGAACAGAGGTGACCTGAGTCCAAATGTAACCGTGGAGACAGACACCAGTGATCCCCAGGGTAGAGCAGGGTGTGGAGACACAGACAGGAGATGCCCAGGGCAGAACATACCCTGGCTTCTTTGTAGGTGTGAAAGGAATCCCGGAGCTGAGATCTGGACATGCCAGGAAATGGTTCAGGTGCCCCAAAATGTTTTTCCTATGCCCAGCAGCAGGGTGGCCATAGCTCAAGTGACCTGAGCTTTGGCTCTGACCCAGCTGCCACATGTGGCCAGTCCTGAGAGTTCAGTTTGTCTAAACACTGCAGAATGGGAAGGATGTGGGTGAACAGACTGAGGTTCCCCTGTGCAGGTGGCAGGAACACAGCCATGGCACAGAGAGCCAAGCAGCGAGGCAGCCACGCTGGTTTGAGATTAAATCCCAGCATTTTGATCTCTGGGTTCTGCTCTGCCACTGCCTCATGTCACATTTGAGGAGGCTGTGGTCCCTGCAGGGTGCTGGGCAGGGTATGGCTGTGCTGGGAGGTACCAGGACCTCAGGTGATGCAGCACAGCCCAGCAGAGATGTGCATGGGGCCAATAATTATCAAATACAGATAATGGAGGAGAGAGGTGTCTGCCCAGGGACACTACACAGTGCAGATTTTGCTGTCCCCTACACAGAGTGTGCTTTGCCAAACTGGGGATGCAGAACCTCCTGGCATCCCAAAATCACAATGCTGCTTGTCCTGGTGGCCATGAGCAGCCAGGTCCTCTCTGTGGGACCTCTCAGCCCTGGCTGCAGCTGGAGGTGTGGCACAGGACGGCTCCACAGGGAGAGGAATCAGGAGCGCAGCCACCCAGGGCACAGCCTGGACTTTTCTTGCCCAGAATTATCAGCAGGGAGTTCCTTAAAAGAATAGTTTGTTATTGTGGAGGGATCTTTGAAGGCGATCCCGGAGCTGTTGGGACACGATAAGGTTATCAGCAGAGGCAAGTCTGCACGGAGAGGCCGCCTTCCCCCTGCAGGGCATCACTCTGCTATTTAACAGAGATTTATCCATGTCATAACATGGTATAATGAGAGAATTTGTTACCAAAGAACTTGCCATAATGCACCTCTGCTCTTCCAGAGCAGTTATAGTTCCCAGGCATGTTGAGGGCTGCCCGGGAATGTCTACATGAAAAGATCCTTTGACAGGAGTTGTCAGTATTTTAACACCTGGCAAGGAAGAGCCCCCTCCAAATAACCCTTGTTTTGCCATGGTGGCTCCTCTAAACGAGGGTGTTGAACCCCATCGTGGTGGGTGAGTGGGTCCCATGGGCTGTAGCCACATGGGAGTTTCCAGCCAGGCAGAGCAGAGTCACCACATTGTGAGTGAAGCCCACGCTTCCAGCTCAGGCCTGATCCCTGAGAATCCCTGCTGGGGATGCAGGCTCACACCCAGGAAGCTAACCTGGCCATGGAGTCAAGGTGTAGTCAGCATCATCCGGTATGAGTGCAAAGTTTTGGGATTTCAGTAGGTGTTTCCAGGCATCCTATCTTGTTGGGTGAGTCCAAGTGCCTACAAAAATAAGGATTAATTCTTGTTGTTGGGTTCAAGTGAATGTTACACCTCTCAGGCACCACCCCCCAGTGACCACAGCATCTTCCTGCTCCCCCAGCACTGAGCAGATTCTGATCTTGGGACACCCAAGACACCCCACTGAGCTGGTACCTGCAGCTGGCCACCACCAGTGCAGTGCTGGAGGAGCTGCAGGAGCTGCTGCTGTTTGCCTTGGCAGATCCTCAGCCCTTTATATCTTCTCAGAACTTCCACAGAGACCACCTAAATGAGACAAACCTGGCAATGTTTTCTGTTATTTGCCCTATCCCTGTCCTGGTGGTGGGAGCAGCTCAGCCATGGATGGATCTACTCCTGCAGATCCCAGTGGGACTGGGAGACACAAATCCTTCCTGCCTGATCCACAGCTGCACTGGGACATGCTCATAGCCAGGAAAAGTGGGGACAGAGCCATCAATGTCAGCCCCTGAACACCCTCCAGCCCTGTGCTGAGCCCCTGTTTTGGGCAGCCCCTGCTCAGGAACTGCCTGGCATGGGGAGAGCAGAGCCTCCCCTCGGCACACCTGTATTTGGATGGCTCAGGACAAGCTTTAACATCCCCACAAACGCTCTGCACGGTGGTATTTTTTTGGCATCGGGCGCTGTGTTGTGGGGATGAGATAAAATACCTGGAGCAGGAACATGCCCTGCCATGCAGGGACGGGCTGCTCCGAGCACAGGGGTGGGCTGGTGTATAGCAAACACATTCCTTGTGAGATGGAAAACAGCATGGCACAGCTGAGGTGGAAGGGAATTGCACATCCCCACACCTGGGCAGTTCCTGGAAGGTGAAGGACAAGCTCTTCTTCACCAGTTCTGCTCTGGAGGGGCACACACTGCAGCCCCCAGAGCTTCCCCCATCCAAGGGGCTTGTGAGACAAGTTTGCCACCAAGCAAACCCCACTGTGCCCTCACGGGGAGGAATTTAGTGGCCACACACCATTTTCTACTCAGGAGTGACTGCTGGCACTGCCTCCAGCTGCCACAGAGCATCCTCCTCCCCCAGCCAGCCCGGGCTGTGGTCCCCATCCTGTCCCTACCCCGTCCCCTCCATGAACCACTGCTGCTGCAAAGGATTGAGTCAGGATCAGGACAAACCCATCTGTGTCAGAACTAAACTCCCAGGTCCTGTGACACTGCTAATGGCATCAAGCATTATTTCCTTAGGCTGTGGTGTGTCAGTGCCCTGAGTGCTCCATGTGTGAGGCCCATTCCAAAATGGGCTGAGTGATGCACGAACAAGAGTTTTGCTGATTTCCAGTGAGATTCCCTCTGTCTCAGTGCAGTAGTGCCTGCTCTGCCAGAGCCCTTGCCCATTTGCAAAACCCTTCCCTACCCCAAGAGGTGGCTGTATCTGATTTATGTGGAGAGCAGCTACCACATAGTGCAGGTGAAACTTTCAGATTTCAGCATTTCCAGGGGAAAGGGAAGAGAAGGAAGCCCTGCCTTTGCACCAGAGCAGCAGAGGAAGCCGAGGTTGGATGGGGGAGCACCCTCCACCCCACCTGAGGGATGTCTCCTGTTTTCCAGTACTCCCCGCTGCTGAAGAAGCTGTACTGTCAGATCGCCAAGACATGCCCCATCCAGATCAAGGTGTCCACCTCGCCACCCCCGGGCACCATCATCCGGGCCATGCCCGTCTACAAGAAGGCAGAGCACGTCACCGAGGTGGTGAAACGCTGCCCCAACCACGAGCTGGGCCGCGACTTCAATGACGGTGAGGGCTCCATGTCCCTCGTGTCACAGCCCTCGTGTGCTCAGGATGAGTGCCCTGGGCAGCCGTGGCTCTAACTGGAGGTTTTCCTTGCAGGCCAGTCAGCTCCTGCCAGCCACCTCATCCGGGTGGAAGGCAACAACCTGTCCCAGTACGTGGATGACCCGGTGACGGGGCGGCAGAGCGTGATGGTGCCCTACGAGCCCCCGCAGGTACCTGGCTGTTCATGGCAGGGAGAAGGACCAGCCCCTGCTTCCCTGGTTTGGGCTGCTTGGCCCTTTGTGCCCCTAGCCCTGGCACATCTAAGACCACATCGTCCCCAGAACTGGTGGCAGCTACACTCCAGAACCTGCAGGTCCCAGCCCTGTGAAGCATCCCAGAGCATCCTGGTCTTGGGAAGTGGGGTGTAAAGGAATATCTCCCCCACTCCTTCCTTAGGTGCCCCCACAGTCCTTGTACAGTCCCCTTTTTCCAGTTGGGACCATGCCCAATGTTCCCCTGCTCATCCTGCCAGGGCACCAGCCCTGTGCCAGAGGGTCCAGCCCTGATTCTTCACTCCCCAGGGATCCCAGTCCAGCCTGCTTCCCCTCCTCTTCTTCACTCCCAGGGGGATCCCAGCCTTCCTCCCCTCCCTGGTGGATCCCATCCTTCCTCCCCTCCTTTCCTTCACTCCCTGGAGATCCTAGCCTGCCTCCCCTCCTCTTCTTCACTCCCCGGGGATCCCGGTCTGCCTCCCCCCATCATTCCCCACTCAGCACCTGTTCTCCCCTCCCGGGCAGGTGGGGACCGAGTTCACCACCATCCTGTACAACTTCATGTGCAACAGCAGCTGCGTGGGAGGGATGAACAGGAGGCCCATCCTCATCATCATCACCCTGGAGACGAGAGAGTGAGTGGCTGTGGGAGCAGGGTTGGGCATCCCTCCCACCGCGAGAGGGCTGGGGAAGGAACCCTCCCCTGCAGGGAGCATCCCCAGGGAACGGGACGGGGCAGCCCCAGCTCGTCACGCAGCAATGCTCCCCTCTGCCAGCTTGGAGAGGGCTGGCACGGAGGGACCAGGGACCCAGCCCAGCAGCTGGAGCCTTCCTCTGCCCCAGGAGCCAGCTGCTCTTCGCTCAGGGGCTCCATTGCTCGCTGATGTGGTTTCTGCCCGGTGCGAGCCCCAGTGCCCTTCCCGAGGGGAAGCAGGGCCACTGATTTTGCTGTGCTCCCAGCGGCCAGGTCCTGGGCAGGAGATCCTTCGAGGGGCGGATCTGTGCCTGTCCCGGCAGGGACCGGAAAGCCGACGAGGATCATTTCCGAGAGCAGCAAGCCCTGAACGAGAGCACGGCCAAGAACGGCAATGCCAACAAGCGCAGTGAGTCCCCTGACAGGGGTGGGGACTCCGGGCACCCGAAATCCCTGCCCTCCACAAGTTTGGGCTCAAATCCACACTCAGGGATGATGCTTTGACCTTTCTCCACTAAATCTCATATATCGGACCCCGCCCCTCTCCTCGCAGAGCCCAAAGATGCCTGTGCATGGCTCTCATGGCTGGATATATTTATTCATTATTGAAAATAACAAAGGGACATGCACATGCTGGGCCCAAGGGAATGGTTTTAGCATCCTGCACAGCTTGAGGTGCTCCCTGCCACGTCCTGTCTCCCACGACTCTACCAATTCTCTTCCCCTCTCCTTTTCAGCCTTCAAGCAGAGCCCCCAGGGCATCCCAGCGCTGGGCACCGGCGTTAAGAAACGGAGGCACGGAGAGGAGGAGATGTACTACGTGCCTGTAAGTGTGAGTGAGCTGCAATGGGGTCAGAAATCCGATTGGGACAGCGGTGGCACCGTCCCCTCTGCCAGAAGCACCTTGGGGAGGGGATGTCAGGCAGGTTGGGGCTACTGTAGGACAGCAGGGGCCTTGGGAATAGGAGCAGAAGCATCCATGGACACAGGTGTCCAAGGGATTGAGGCATCCCAAACAGTCCCTGGCCACAGTGACAGTTGGTCTGGGTGAAAAAAAGGGAGCATGGGGAATTGGCCAGGTGGGATGGGAATAAAGCAAAGTCCTGCTCTTGTTCCCTCCTCCAGGTGCGAGGCCGGGAGAACTTTGAGATCCTGATGAAGATAAAGGAGAGCCTGGAGCTGGTGGAGCTGGTCCCGCAGCAGCTGGTGGATTCCTACCGGCAGCAGCAGCAGCAGCTCCTGCCGAGGCAGTGAGTCCTGCCCCAGCCCCCGAGACCCCCACAGCCCCCGAGACCCCCACAGCCCCTGAGACCCTCACAGCCCCTGAGACCCCCACAGCCCCTGAGACCCTCTCAGCCCCTGAGACCCCCATAGGCCCCAAGACCCTCTCAGCCCCTGAGACCCTCACAGCCCCTGAGGCCCTCACAGCCCTTGAGACCCCCATAGCCCCTGAGACCCTCACAGCCCCTGAGGCCCTCACAGCCCTTGAGACCCCCATAGCCCCTGAGACCCTCACAGCCCCTGAGACTCTCACAGCCCCTGAGACCCTCACAGCCCCAGAGACCACCCCAATCCCTGAGGCCCCCACAGTTCCTGAGAACCCCCAGTCCTCCAGGCCCCTGCAGCCTCCTGAGATCCCCACAGTTCTGAGACCTCCACTATCACTGAGGCCTCCATTGTCCCTCAGATCCCCACAGTCCCCCAGAGCCCTGAAGTTCCTCCAGGCCCCTGCAGCTCCTGAGACCCTCACAGTTCCTGAGACTGCCACAGTCCTTGAGGCCCCTACAGTCCCCCCAGCCCCTCAAGTCCCCCACAGCCCCTGAGCACCCTTGTAGGAGGCCTGTGGGCTGGGAGGGAGCTGCAGCCCGGAGCAGAGCAGCTCCACCCCACTCACCCCAGTCTGACCAGACTGTTCCCACCCCAAACAGGAGCCAGCTGCAGACACCTTCCTCCTATGGCCCCGTGCTTTCCCCCATGAATAAAGTCCACGGCGGAGGAATCAACAAGCTGCCCTCTGTGAACCAGCTGGTGGGGCAGCCTGCCCAGCACAGCTCCAGTTCTGCACCCAGCCTGGGCCCCATGGGTACGTCCTCTGTCAGCAGGCCGGGCACAGGGCTCTCGATTTCTTGATTTCTGGGCCCCTCCCTGGGAGTTTGCCTGTCAGGGGAAACCCTCCTGGAGCAGTTCTGTGTCAGGAAAAGGAGATGAACCGGACTTTTTTGGTCTTCGGCTAGTTGTTTACCATTATTTTATCAATACTTCAGCACACCATCTACACCAGGCTTTGCACATAGGAAAAGCACCACAAAATGGCTACAGATGTAGTTTCAAGGTCTTTTAAAGTTGCCCCATCCAATTAACTTTTAAATTGCACTTTATTTTTACCTGTCTACCAACAACTCATCCCTTGTCTGTCCACGTAACCTAAAACTGTGGCTTTCCTTGAGCAATCCCCCTGTGCCACCAACACTACACAAAATGGAGTAGGTGAAGAAGAAGAAGCTTGGGACAATGCCCAATGCCCTTTATCTTGCCTCCATCTACAACATACTAAAAATCCCAAAACCTAACTTTCTCACCCAAGTACTATACTATATTACCCTCTATAATCTATTTCACAGTTTTGTAGACTCTAGTCTATTTTGAAGTCCTGGAAGCTTTCTCCATGGGTGAGGGTCAAAGCCAGTGCTTCCCTGGGAGTGAGGACCTCTCAGAGCAGACAGAAATATTCCCTGTGCCCTGGGTTCCCACAGTTTATCAGGTCTGGGTGGTGTCTAACAGGTGTATTTGTTGTCACTGCCCAGGACCTGGAATGCTGAACAGCCACCCCATGCAGACCAATGGAGAAATGAATGGGGGCCACTCATCCCAGTCCATGGTGTCCGGGTCACACTGCACCCCCCCTCCTCCCTACAACGCAGACCCCAGCCTCGTCAGGTAGGGAAGGCACTTGGTGTCCTGTCTGTCTTGTCCTCTGCTCCTTGCTGTGCCCCTCGCTCTAACCTTCCCATCTGTCTGGCAACTGGTCAACTGGCCACTGGCCCCAACTGAGAAATCACTGCTGTTCCTCTCACCTCAGCAGCCAAAGCCCAGCTACCAATCAGTCAGGAAGCCCCACTGCCCTCATACACCTCCCTGGGAATCCATTCCTGATCAATTAGAAATTAAGTACATCCTAAAGAGGGTCTTGTCCTACATGTCCAATAGCATGTATCTTTATGAGCTTCCCCCTTCTCCTTCCAGCAACACCTGGAAATGGGTCCATGTGGCTTATTTCAATCAGAAATGTATTAACAGCTCTGCAGGTTTTTAATGTTTTGGCCTTTAAAAAGACCATGGATGTTTTGACAGACCTTGGGCCAGCACCCACAGAGGGCAGAGCCTGGGTTGTGCCCTGATCCCCCTCCCCAGTAGCTTGAGCTCCCTCATGAGTTCCTGAGCCAAAATCTCAGACAATCAGGAGAAAAACATGTGTAGTTTTAGGAATGAACACAACCCCACACTGTGCTTTGACCTTAGTGCCAGTGGAGCACCCATGGAGCTCTCCACATCCCCCACCTGACATGGTCTGTCCCCACAGAGATGGGACACAGCTGTTGTTCATGAGAACTTAATGCCACTTTATTTTCCAAACTTTCTCTGCAGTTTTTTAACAGGATTGGGGTGTCCAAACTGCATCGACTATTTCACCTCACAAGGGTTACAGAATATTTACCACCTGCAGAACCTATCCATAGAGGTAAATGCTTTGGAGAGATCTGTTCTTACCACTTGTTTCCCGCAGCTGTTGGTCTGAAAAGCAAAACCAAAAGTGTTTTGGAGGAAGGGAAACCTGTGCCCCAACCCCTCACAGAGAACATGTGTTCCCAGGATTGATGCCTGTCATTCCTGTCCCCTTGATGGTCCTTTGGAGGTAGCTATTGCTCAGGCCTTGAAAAAAATCACAACCAGTCCCAAAAAACCACAAACAATCTCAACTGCTTCCTCCAGACTCTCAGAAACAACAGAGATCAAAGATCCCCAGGCCAGAGCTCAGGGAGATTTTCCACCTAACACAGAGAACACAGCTGAGGTGCTCAGTGGAATACCCCATATCCCACAGAGCCAGCAGGGACACCCCACTGCAGCTCAGAGAGGCTTAATCTGGTCTCACCTCTTCCCCTGCTAATCTTTAGAATGAAAGAGGCTAAAATAAGGGAGCTGAGCCCAGGACATTTTTATTAAGGGAAGTCTGGAATGAAATAGCCCAGGTCAGGCAAAAGCTGTCAGAAAAAGCATGGAGGGGATGCTGGAAACACCTGAGTGCCCAGAGCATCAGCCTCTGCTGCTGCCACACTCTGGTGCTGGTACCAGGGGCAGCACCAGAGCTGGGGCTTCCCCAGGCCATCAGAGGAATAAGAAAAAGGAAAACAAAAAATAATCCTGAACCTTTTGAGCCATGGAAAACCCTGTAAATCCCCGAGTTGGTGTTTTGACTGAGACAGAGCTCCTGCCCGACCCTGTTTTGACCTCGTTTTGCCCCAGGCAGGTGTAGCAGTGTCTCTACCTGGCAGCTACAACATCCCGCAGGAGAGATGATGATTTGTCACGGTAGCTGGGGCCAGTTGTGTAACCTGAGCCTGGTTTTGGACCACTTGCTGAACTAACTCCATGACTGCCTGTCAGCTGTCCACAGGAACATTTAGGAATGGCCAAAACTTGTGTCAGGGCAGAGCTGTGTGTCTGAGTCGGCGTTTGTAGCTACTAATTGCATACTCACTGTCTGCTCCAGTTAACGCTCCCGTGAGTCTCTGTGCTGGCATTAACACAGACCCCTGGCAGCTCCCCCCTGTGCTGGTGTGTGTCCTGGCACATGTCCCCAGCCTGAGGTCGCCCACCTCTCCTGGTGTCACCCACCTCAGTGCTCGAGGCTGGTGCTGCTCCAGCCTCCTGGGCCAGGACCAGAGCAGAGTCCATCCCAAGTGCACAGCCACAGGGATGCTCCACACGCTGCTCTGCAACCTGTGTTCAAGGGGAATGATCCTTTCCTCCCCTCCCATTTCCACATCAGTTTGATGTGAACCCCTCCCAAAACAACAAAAATCTCCAGCCTGCAAACCTGCAGTGAGTAACAGTTTCAAACAAGAAATAACCCATGGGATGAGGCACCCATGGCCATGGTGGGAGGTCCAGCTCTGCTCTGTTGGGCGTTGCACCCATGTGTCCCCTCAAAGCACAGCCTGGGGCTCTTTCCTGCTGGTTCAGCCCCACTCAGTGGTGTTGTCCTTGCAGGATCTCGCAGCACTGAAGATCCCGGAGCAGTACCGCATGATCATCTGGCGTGGTCTGCAGGAGCTCAAGCAGAGCCACGACTACGGGGCCCAGCAGCTGATCCGCTCCAGCAGCAGCAACGCCTCCACCATCTCCATCGGCAGCTCGGGCGAGCTGCAGCGGCAGCGGGTGATGGAGGCCGTGCATTTCCGCGTGCGCCACACCATCACCATCCCCAACCGCGGCGCGGCCGACGACTGGGCCGACTTCGGCTTCGACCTCCCGGACTGCAAATCCCGCAAACAGTCCATAAAGGAGGAGTTCACGGAGGGAGAGATCAACTGAGGGGCTCCAGAGGTGGCAGCGAGACACCGGAGGGGTGACAAAACCCCCCCCTCAAAACGTATTTGCAGCCTTGGGCACCTGGAGAAGTTTAACTTTGTTATCCAGGGGAACTGCAGGCCCTGAGCCAGGCAGGAGGTGCCTGCCTGGGGAGGAAACTGGAGGTGAGGAGGAGGAGGAAGGAAAGGAGGAGGGCAGCCGAGCCAGATCAGCAGCCAGAGTGGGATTTCTGTCTGCCCACGGAACAGGAGGCACTGTGTGGTTTGTGTTTTCCTGGAGCATCCCTGCATCCAGCCGTGTAAGGACAGCTCATTTTTCTCACCCCTGCTCACTGTCCGTGTTCTTCATGGTGTCCCAAACTGAGAGGGCTTTGTCACTGCAACAGACTCAGCCCTGACCTGTGCAGGCATTGCCAGGGACTGGTGTGAAGCCACATCCTGCTTTTCCATGGACTGCCAAATGCACCCCTTCCCTCAGTAGAGCCAGAAAGACCCTGTTTGTCAATGTGTTCTTGTACTTAAAGGTTGGTGTATATAAACAGAATGTACATACAGTAAACTCGTTGTGCTGTAAGGAGAGAGAAAGATTTATTTTCATGTAAGCTATAAAAATTGATACTGACTCCTGAGACACCGCAGTGTCAAGTAAATTAATTCCATGTTGTAGCATGCAAACATGCAGAGAATCCTGTCTCCAGCCTTATCTATTCAAAACTCAGTTTTTTCCCTCCTCTGAATCTCTTGCATGCAGTTGAGGAGGGGGAAAGCCAGTGATTGTCCTGGGAAGTCAGAGGTCTGGATAATCCTTCCCTCCTCCCTTGGGGAGTTTTGTTGACAGATCAGACCTGATAAGCTGGAATGTCATGGTGTAAATTCCATCTTTTTGGAGCACAGCATGGACTGGCTGCCCAATTCTCTTCCGTTCCTCGTCATTTTCCCCAGCTGCAATTTCTCTCTTGATTCAGACAGGGGAGAAAAGCTTTCACAGAAAGCAAGGACACAAATAGGTGTGTTCCCTATTCCCTACACATTTGGGAAGGCAATGTCCCACAACAGGTCTTGGAAAGGCACTGAAGTCACAGGAGCTGTCGCTGTGGGAGGGAGGGCAGGGAGCTGCTGCACCTGCCCCCTCAGCCCTGGGTCACTCGAGATTTTGGGCAGCCTGAGGGAACCTGCACAGAGATGATGCTGCCCAGCACATTCCCACTGCTGCACTCTCCCTCTGGAGGCCTCCAAAGGCAGCCCTGCCCCTGCTCCCCATCACCCCCAGGCTGGGGAAGGGGCTGGATACCCTTCACAAAGCCCTGAACCCTCTAAGCAAGAGCAGAAGAGCTCAAGTCCCACCAGGGCTAACCTGAGATGTGACTTCTCCAGGTAGGCAGTGGCTGTTCCCTCTCCGAGGGGAACAGGAGTGTGACCACTGGACGTGCTGCACCCACAGCCCTGGGCCCTCCTCCAAAGCCCTCTCTGGGTGTCTGGGTGTGAAGGCTCAGCAGCTCTGAGCCTTCAGCACACAGAGGCTGCCTCTTGTCCCTCCTCTCCCTCGGGTACTGGTGAGCTGCAGGTGCAGCCACCATCCCTGAGGCCATCCCACCACAGGGATTAAGAACTCCCCTGGTGTGGCTGACAGTGACTCTGTGTCCCCTGGAAATGGCTCAGTAAAGCTCTTTAATGCTTTAAAGCTTTTGCAACAACCACTCACATTTCCAGCATTCCCAGGGCTGTTCCCAGCAGTATTAATGGATCACTCTGTGATAGGAATTGTATTTTTTGTAATGTTATCTTTGGAAAATGTGTTATTTTTATAGCTGTGGTTTATCTTTTGTTTTGTTTTGTTTTTTTTTTTTGTTTTTTTTTTTTTTGGGGGTTTTTTTGGGGTTTTTTTTATTTTTTTTTTGGGTTGTTTTTTTTTTTTGTAACACAATAAAAGCAATATGGGAATTCTTGCATCTGGAAATTAAAATTGGACAGAAAGTGCCCTCCTAACCTAGAGTAAACCTTCAACTGTAGGACCTCAAAGGGCCTGAAGCTACTGAAACAAAAAGGAAACCCACCATTGTGTACTAATCTGCTACAGCAAGTACAGAGAGGCAAAAACCAGCTTCTGAACACATAAATCTTTTTTTTTTTCACCATAAATGGCTAAAAAATAGTGAATGGAACAGACAACAAGCATTAAGACACAGGTTTTCTGAGCTTGAAAAATTATGCTGTTAAAAACAATTTCCCAAAAAGAACATAAATTTCACCATTATTTCTAGTTTTAGGAGTATATATTCCACAGGTAGGAATTGGAAATTGATTGAACTAAAGGTTCTTGCAAGAAGTTTATAAACTAATGCCTTGAAATGGAAGATGTCAAGAATGCTGTTGTAATTCCATAAAAAATACAAAAAAAAAAAAAAAAAAAAAAGGTTTCAAAAGATCTTGAAAACTGGCATGTGACAGCCAGACAGGAACAGTCAGAGCCACAGACCTGCAGAGAGCTCCAGACATGACAAAGGTCCAAAGCTCCTGGCAGACACACTGACTGGCCTGTGGCTCTGCCTTCTGCTGGGGTCTGTGTCCCAAACAGGATCATGGAATCCCAGACTGGTTTATTTGGATGGAACCTTAAAGCTCATCCCATCCCTCCCCCTGCCATGGCAGGGACACCTTCCACTATCCCAGCTTGCTCCAAGCCCTGTCCAGCCTGGTCTTGGACACTTCCAGGGATCCAGGGGCAGCCACAGCTTCTCTGGGAAATCTATTCCAGCCCCTCAGCACCCTCAAAGGGAAGAATTTCTTCCATATATCCAATCTAAACATACTCACAGATGCTCCTGTGGTTTTCTGAGTATTAAATAACCTCCCCTGTGGCACTGCTGGGAAGGTGCCTGCTTGTGACTTCTCCTCCAGGCAGTCAGTGGCTGTTCCCTCTCCAAGGGGAGATTTCTCCCTCATCCCAGCTATTGGTGGTCCTACACCACCCTGCCTGGCCCGAGGAGCATCACTCTTCTCCCAGGGAAACAGAGCTCTGTGGCCAGCAGCACTCTCCAGGAGGAAAAGCCACCTGGATGAAACCACACGGAATTTCTTGCAGGCTCTGACTGACATGGTAGGAACCCTGCACTGCCCCAGCACCAAGTGCTCCTGGTTCAGAAGTGCCTCTGTCTGCTGGGCATTCCCAGTGGGAACACCAAAACCACCATCCAGGCTTCTGTTGAGGCCACTGGGTGGGAGCGGCTGTCACACGAGCTCAGCCTTGACTCCAGCGGCACTGCTGCGCAAGTCCACGGCAGATCCATTCCTCCAGGACTGCTCAGCTGCTGCAGCGACCTGGATTGTCCAGAGGAACTGCTCCTTGGTGACCACGGGGGGCTCCTGGCCTGTGGGACAGCAACAAAGCACTGGATGAAACCCGTGGTCCCCTGTGAGCATAGATCCCACCACAGCACTGGTGCTGCAGGAGTTAAAACATTTCAGCACCTCCTCCTGCCCTGTCAATGCAGCCACAAGAACTGAAATACTGTTTAACAAAAATAGCTTGGACTAGATGATCTTCAAAGCCTCTTCCTAACCAAGCCACTCCATGATTCTGTGATTTTTATCCCTTCTGGGCAGCCAGGGCTCAGGTGAGGATCTCCTGGCTGTCACAAACAGCTGCTTTCACCACAAAGGACAGTTAGGTCCAAGGCAATTTCCCCTCCCAACTCTCATTTCTTCCCAGCAGAATTTCAGATCATCATCCCCCACCCATGTCCATGACCTGACACAGTGCACCCCCAACAAAACCAACCCAAAGCAACACCAGCCATCAATTTAAGCCTTGTCCCACCTTTCAGGGTTCTCAGGAAGTGCCGGAAGAGCTCCCTGTATGCATCTCTATAGCGCTCAGCTTGGGTTTGGGAGCAGATGGACACAGAAGTCCCATGCTCTGTGATGCCCAGGGGGTTCTGGTTGTCCACCCTTAACGTCCCTTGAGACCCGTGAACCTGAGGGAAGGAGCAAAACAGGGAAGAAAGAGCATTTTTAAATTATCATATTTTCAACCTCACACACCTGGCCAGGTTAGAGAAGCCCTGGTTTGTAAAACTAAGACAAAAGTAGGTTCTGAAATGAGGAGTCACACCTGCCCCAGCCCTGGTATGGCTCAGACACAACAGAAACACCATGGATCTGCTGTAGTACAGTGGCTTCCACTTGTGTGGTACCTCACCTGAGCAAAGCCCCTTTTAGAAGTGCCTAACAGAAATTCCTCCCCAAGAACAGCCCCCATAGCTGTAATTATTCATGACTGTAGGAATTTACACTTCCACTCTGGAAAGGACAAAGGAAATCTGCTCAATTTCAGCTTCAGGAGAGCTGACACCAGTTCCTGCTCTGGTATGATTCATGCAGCTCGTAACACCGGATAATGCATGGGAGAGAAAGAAAATTTGGGTGAGAAAAGAGAAAGATTGTAGATTGAAAAAGAACAAGAAGCCACTGCTGCTGAGACAACAGCCAAACAAACAGATGTGGCACTTAGAGCTCCGCTCTGGATGACAAGGTGAGGACTGGTGACAGGTTGGATTTGATGATCCTGGAGGTCTTTTCCAACCTCAGTGATTCTGTAACAGAGGGGTCTTGGGAAATGTGCTGCAGGCACACCCAGAGGGGAAAAATTGTGCTGGGCCTTGGAGTCAAAACAGACTTGACTGAGCAGCAGGACCCCACCTCCAGCCGCTGGTCACAGCTCCTGGTGCAGTGCTGGCTGATGTCCAGAGTGACAATGGCTCCGCTGGGGAACTTCATGCAGATGGTGACCGTGTCCACGTCCCTCAGGCAGCCCATGTCTGGGGACAAAACAGGCCTGGCTCACCCCAGGAACAGCAAACCAGCACATCCTACAGCTACAAACTGCTGCTCTTCCTTGGGGAGGTGACACTGGCTTTGTGACACCTTCCTACAGGACACACTGGTGACAGCACCCCAGCTGCTTCACCAGCATTCCTGACGGAACACAGGCAGCTCTGCAGGAACACACAGCCCCAGGCCCAACTCCACCTCCCCAGCCTGCAGCTCCCTAGTGAGGGCACCCACCTGTGCCTCCAGGATCAGACAACTTCCAGCATGTTGCAGGAGTAAGGCAGAGGGTACAGAACCCTCCTGGAGGGCTCTGGTTTGCTGCATTTCAATGTGTGCCATGGAAGAGAGCCTTGCATCTTGCCCCTCCTCACCCCAGCCAGCCAAGCCTGGCAGCTGCTGCAATTACTTTAATTAAAACTCTGCATTTCCATTTCAAAAATGGCAGCTTCCACCTCTTATGGGTGGCTTAAATGAGTGTGGTAACTCAGTGTGCACAGCAGCCCAACATGACCCAGAGCAAACACACAGCTTTGTGCTGGGATCCACAGGGAAGGGCCAGAGAAAGCAGAGAATGAACATTTCATTGACATTCTTGTGCGCTCAAACATTAGCCAAGTTATCTTCTGCACTCTGATTCCAAACCTGGTGTCCTGCAGAGTCATGTTCAATGATAACTCCACTGCAACTGCTTCACCTCAGCAGGAGAGTCACCAGATTCAGAGATCTTCACCAAATACCCCCAAGGAATCTGCCTTCTGTTCCACCAGCCTGTTTATTTAGCTGCTCCACGATGGAACAGATGTCATGGCTATAATGCTCTCGTTCCTTCTTTCTTCCCAATTTTAACCCTGAAGTCCAGAGGTACCCAATAAACCATCAAAAGACTCTTACCTGCACAGAAGGCATGGCCCAGGGAAAATATTGTATCTGGCACACTCTCTCCCAACAACAAACTGATAATATCTATGTCATGCACAGCAGCGTTGTAAAAAATTCCACCTGGAAGAACCAAAACTGGGCATTAATGTTTCCATATTGAAACCCACAGCCAATGTACATTTCTGAACTGCACAGAGATGGTATAAAAAGCCCCCACAGTGAAGGAACTAATTCTAAAGGGACAAAAAAATGCACAGAAATGAAGTTTGGTAAAGAAAACACTCCTCAAAAAACACTCCTCCCCACGGATCTGAAGGCTATACAAATTCAGGTGAATTCCCAGAGAGCATAAAGACACTTCCAGGACAGCTTTTGGATCAACCTAGTCTGGTTAAGGTGTCTCTGCCCATGGCAGGGGGTGGAACAGATAAGCTTAAAGGTCCTTTCCCACCCAAACCATTCCATGACTCTGAGTGAAGCCCAGACTCTTCAGCAGGGAGCTGCTGGGTACCTGAGGCTTTCAGCAGGCTCAGAGAGGCCGCAGGATAGAGGCTGCTGCTGGTCCATATCCGCTGGATCCTGCCCAGCGCCCGGCTGTCCCGCACCTTCTTGTACAGGAACTGCAGGGCTGGGTCAAAGCGCCTTCCAAGGGAAACAAGGAATGAGGTGAAACCAAGCTGATTCGAGGACAAAGGCAGGAAAGCCTGAGGAATCAGTGCTGCTTCCAGACATGCGATTTTATCAAGAATAAATCACAGGAAAAACACAGGTCTTACTTGTAGAACCCACACACGAGTGGCCTCCCACACCTGTCGGCCTCATCGAAACAGGCTTCTGCTGTCTGTCTGTCCAAGCTGGGCAGCCCCTCGCAGAACACACCTTTACCTGTGCAAAACAGGACACACACAGGGCTCAGGGGAGACACAGCTGCACAAAACACCTTGATCTTGCAGTAACAGCTCATCACATTTCTGGTTTTGATGGCATTTATCCCCTTTTGCCTGCCTGCTGTGGTTTCAGCTGTCCCAGACCCCAGGAGTGGGACTGTTTTGGTGACAGCTTTCCTGTGAGCCCTGGTGGGATTTTAGGATGAGACACTGCCCAGTCATACTGGGACCAGCTTAGCACAAACCCCCCTGGTGGTCCAGCCATTGACATCAGCAGGGATCTCAGTCACTTTAATTACTCAATTTGAGAGCCTGCACAGCTCCAGGGCTGCTGCTGAAACACAAACACACTCACAAGTGCACATCAATGGGCACAGGGAAAATGTGCAGCTGCTCCTCTCACCTGCTCGTAAGGCATCTCTTACCATCTCATGGGCTTTGTCAGGTGGGCAACAAATAATGGCTCCAGAGACTCTGCAGGAATCAAGACAGATCTTCAGTAAGGACAAGGTTTTCACTAGATCAAACAAGGCTCAAAACATCTATTTGGTTACAGTTAAAAAAACCTAAAATCCCGCTGCTCTGGAAGAGCCAGGTGGGTTATAGAAGGAACTTGGTGCTTGCTCTGAAGATGAAATATACATCGACACACATAGGTTAAAATCACAAGTGGCACAAAGGAATTGCACTGCTTTTCCTGCATCTTCTAGGAGAAAATATTTTAAAGGTTTTCTTTAAAAAAGGATTTAAATCCTATCAGTTAACACACACAGAGAAAGCCAAAGTATTCATGTGGTAGAGCTGCTGATCAATGCACCTTAGCTTCCTCTGATTCATTTTTTAATATCAAATCTGCCTTTCCTAAAAGCTCTGCTTTTGCTCCTGCAGTATTTTAGACACGACAGCAACAGCACGTTAGTGATGTTACAGTTGTTCAGTTCAACTGTAAAGCAAAATGCCACAATCCTCCCTATTTACACCAACCCTTGCTTATCTCAGAGCTCTAAGAGCCACCAAACTCAGTTGACTGCTCTGAGACAGGGAAACTGGCAGGCAGCAGGGAAGATGTCATTTATTATTGCTCTGTGGGAATGGAGGAAAATGGTTTTTTTTTAATTTCTTAACAAAACTGCCTGTAACTGAACACCTCCAAGTTTCCATTAATCTGGGTACACAAACCCAGTTAAGCTTCTCAGAGACTCCTGAAGGACCCGTGGCTAGGTGACAAAAGGACCCCTCACTCCCACAGGGATGGCCAGAGGCACAGTCTGGGGCTAACACCGAGTTTCCAAGAGGGGAAGGCAAGGCTTGCATGGAACCCCCCTCCCTGAGCAGAGCCACACCCGGGAGCTGGTGGCCGTCAGTACCGCGGATCGCTGAGCGCCACGCTGGCATCCTGCTGCCGCAGCACCCTGGTGCCAGCCAGGACCTGGGTGCCAAAGCCACGTTCCACCTCCTCCAGCTGATCCTCCAGCACGTACAGCAGGCAGCAGCCCGCTTCCTCCAGCAGGCTTTGCAACAAGGCTGTGCTCACGAGCCCCGCGCCGAACAGCACGAGGCCGACGCCGCTGCCACCGTGAGATGAGGGAGGTGCTGGGCTGTTGGAGGCATCAGGTGCGGGCCCGCTTTGGCCAAGAGGTGCAGTCCTGGTGTGGAAGGTGGCCAGCGGTGAGGGGTGGCTGGTGGAGGGTGTTGGGTCGTCCCTGTGCGTGGTGGAGATGGGGTGGTGGGGAACCAGCAGCTTGTGGTAGGAGGGCAGGGAGGGCACCATGCTGTAGCCAGCACCAGATCCACTGGTGATGAGGAAGGAGGGATGGGAGAGCAGGGAGGGCACGTCGAGTGGCAGGGGCAGGCTCAGGTTCAGGCTGGAGTCAGGACCCGCAGAGCTGAGGAGACAGAGATCAGAGGATCAGAGAATATCCTGAGCTGGAAGGGACCCACAAGGATCATCAAATCCAACTCTTGAGAACACCCTGCACAAGAACACCCCAAGAATGCCACTATACGGTGAGGATGCTGTCCAAATGCTTCCTGAGTGGGGTCAGGTGAGACAGATAATTAAAGAATCATTAAGACCTCCAAGATCATCAAGGCAGACCTTTGACTGAACACCTCCTTGTCAATTAAACCACAGCACGCAGTGCCACCCGCAGCTCCCTCAGCCACTCCTCACAGGACTGACTCCCCATCCCTTTCCCCAGCTCCATGCCCTTCTCTGGACATGCTCCAGACCCTCAATGTCTGTTTTGTAGTGAGGAACAGAACTGGGCAAGGCACCCGAAGGGCCTCAGCAGTGCCCAGCACAGGGGGACAGGCACTGGTCCAGCTGGGGACACTGTTCTGGGCTCGGGTGAGACTGAGATGGGGCAGGTGAGGCAGGGAAAGGCCTTGGGGTGAGCCGGAGCAGGGGTGGGTCGGGTGAGACTGAAATAGGGTGAGTGAGGCAGGGAAAGGCAGGACGAACCCGAGCAGGGGTGGGTCGGGTGAGACTGAAATAGGGTGGATGAGGCAGGGAAAGGCAGGATGAGCCCGAGGAGGGGTCGGTCGGGTGAGACTGAAATAGGGTGAGTGAGGCAGGGAAAGGCAGGACGAACCCGAGCAGGGGTCGGTCGGGTAAGACTGAGATTGGGTGGGTGAGGCAGGGAAAGGCCGGGTGAGCCCCAGCAGGGGTGGGTCGGGTGAGACTGAGATTGGGTGGGTGAGGCAGGAAAGGGCAGGATAAACCGGAGCAATGGTCGGTCCGGTGAGGCAGGGAAAGGCAGGACGAGCCCGAGCAGGGGTGGGTCGGGTAAGACTGAGATGAGGCGGGTGAGGCAGGAAAAGGCAGGATGAGCCCGAGGAGGGGTCGGTCGGGTGAGACTGAATTGGGTGGATGAGGCAGGGAAAGGCAGGATAAGCCGGAGCAATGGTCGGTCGGGCGAGGCAGGGAAAGGCCGAGGGGTCAGCCCGAGCAGCTCTGTGTCCCTCACCGGAGCCCCGGGGCGCGCAGCCCGAGCTGCCGGAGCAGGCGGCGGTTGCGGCAGTGGCGGCCCGAGCTGAGGTGCTCCAGGATGCGGTCGCGGCGCACCCTCAGGGGCAGCTGGCACGGCGTGCACAACAGCGTCTCCACGGCGCCCGCCCGGCCCGGCCCCGCCGGCTCCCGCCGCACCGACAGCTCCGAGAACTCGGCCGCGTAGTCGTGCAGCGTCTTCCTCCTCCGCCCCATGGCCCGGCCCCGCTGACTCGGAAGCGGAAGGCCCGCCCGCCTCACGCCGTTGCCCGGCAGCGGCCCCGCTCCGAGCCCCGCGGCGCCGGGAGAGAGCCCGGCCCCAGCCCCAGCCCCGGGCGATGGAAACCGATGACTCGCAAGGACCAGAAACCATGGGACAGCTCCAGCAGGAGCTGCGGAAAGCCAAGGATGACCACAAAATGGCCATAGGTACATGGGGGAGTGCCCAGAGCACACCTTTACCTGCCTAGGTCTCATTCAATTCGGCTCCTTTCACCTTGGAAACATTACAAGGTGTCGCTCACAGGCTGAAAAGCCGCTTGTTTTGTAAACAGTTTCTTTCTGCCCTTGGAAGTGAAGAACATGAGAAAACCCGGCAGAGAAAGCGCTGAGCAGAGCGGCAAAGCAGCATTGTGCGTGTTCTCAGAGCAGTGCCCACCTTAAAGCTGGGTTGTTTAATACACATGAGTGCCCAGAGCACACCTTTACCTGCCTAGGTCTCATTCAATTCGGCTCCTTTCACCTTGGAAACATTACAAGGTGTCGCTCACAGGCTGAAAAGCCGCTTGTTTTGTAAACAGTTTCTTTCTGCCCTTGGAAGTGAAGAACATGAGAAAACCCGGCAGAGAAAGCGCTGAGCAGAGCGGCAAAGCAGCACTGTGCATGTTCTCAGAGCAGTGCCCAACTTAAAGCTGGGTTGTTTAATACACAAGGAATAACACAATGGTTTGGGTTGGAAGGACTTTAAAAATCAGCCAGTGCCACCCTCTTTCACTATCCCATGTTGCTCCCAGCCCTGTCCAGCCTGGCCTTGGACACTTCCAGGGATCCAGGGGCAGCCACAGCTTCTCTGGGCACCCTGTGCCAGGATCTCCCCACCCTCACAGGGAAGAATTTTTTCCATACATCCAATCTGACCCTGCTCTCTATCAGTGTGAATCCATTCCCCCTTGTCCTGTCACTCCAGGGACCTTGTAAACAGTCTCTTTCTTGTCAGCTCCCTGTGGTGCTGGAAGGCCACAATTAGTCACCCTGAAGTGAAACCACCTTTTCTTCCCCAGGCTGTACAAACCCACATCCCACAAACCACATTATCACCCAGAATTACTGTGGCTGCAGCATTAATGGGTCCCAAGTCTGGTCCCAGACTGTTCCCACAGTGGCTTTGGCTTATGCTCACCTGAAAAAAAGCAGCCACAGAGTGTTCAGCAGGGATTTGCTTTGCTAACAGAGTACTCTCCCACTTTACAGGTGCCATCTCTTCCTTGCAAAGGCAGATGGAGATCCGAGAATCTGAGCTTCGGAGAATCAGATCTGAAAAGGAATTGCTCCAGAAGCAGCTCAGAGAGAGAGAAGTCCAGCTCCAAGCTGTGTCTGACAAGGTATGGCCCAAGAGCGTGGTGGCCATGGCTAGCAGGAGACAGGGCAGCTGGGAATTTGGGATTTTTGCAACATGTCCCTCTCTCACAGGCAGGAGGGGCACCTGTAGCTGTGAAACTGAAGTGTAAAATATTCTCTTTCCAGTTGTGCAGCCTGACAGAAGAACAGAGGCAGGAAGAAGCGGTGGTGATGATGGAGGAGGAGAACCACAACCTTCAAAGGGTGAATTCGTGCAAAGCCTCTACATAAAAGTCTGGTGTTTGCCGCTTCACTGGGCTGGTTTTAGGGATGGTGGAGTCTGGCATATAAAACCCCCACTCAATCCAAGTAGTTTTAGAGAAAACACCAAATAATAAGAGCTACCAGTACTGGTGAGACTGTCAGTCCATAGATTTTGCCCAGGAAACATATGGATCAAATAGTGGGAAAATGAGGCCAAACTTGCTCACTTTCTTCTCCCCAGTGACAGCTGGATTTCTGTATCTGCTCAGGTTGTTACAGAACAGGAATTTCAGCTGGCTGAGCAGAACAAGCTCATCAGTGAGTTACAGGGGACAATCAGCCAGCTGCAGGCTGAGGTTGTGAGCACCCGCCTCCACCTCCTGACGCAGAAACAGGCCCAGAAGGAGACCCAGAGCCAGGTTGAGACACTGCAGCACACAGAGCTGCAAAGCAGAGTGGCACTGGAGCTCATCAGCAGCAAGGTAAGCGTGGCCTCTTTCACCTCAGTGCCCTGTCTCCCTCTTGGGACACACTTGGGAATCTCAATCCATTTGCTCCCTAGCTGTGGAGCAGGCAGCTCTTGTGCCACTTAAAAAGAAAACAGACCACAAATACCAGAAACTCTTGAGAAACAGGAGTTCAGATCAGTTACATCACCAGATTTCCAGACCCAAGGTAACAAGCACCACTCTAAAGTCATCTCCTGCAGGCACATGTGCCTGGTGCCAGGGGAAGAGCCTTGGCCCACCTAGACCCACATGATTACCACAGCACTTTCAGTGAAGCCCAAACTGCCTGTAATTTCACATAAACACATTTCCACGTCATCATTCACCAGTCCTTTGCCCAAGCCTGACAGCACAGTCTCTGTAAATCAGTGCAAATGCCAAAGAATTGCACGTAAAGACTGAACACACCTGCTCTCTTCTTTTATCCAAAGTTTGAAAGGTTTAGAAACAAAATAATCCAGGCTACGTTCAGCGTGGAGGGCAGCCAGGACCCCCAGGCCGAGCTCACAGATGATGAAGTGCTGGAGGCAGTGCAGGTATGTGGCTCTTCCAGACAGCTTCCAGCAGCCAGGAAGGCACTGCTGAGGTAAGAGGACACTTTGCAGTGCTGCTCCCAGCTTTCCCTCCTCTTCACATATCGCTGATTTTCAGAAAATCTTTAACGAGCGGACGGAGTTCCAGCAGATGCTGAAGAACAAGGGCAGCAAGACGTCACTGCTCAGCAGCGACAGCAGCACAGCATCACCAGCAAGGAGAAGGAAATCCTCCAGGATGGAAAGGCTCTGATGGCTGAGCCAGAACCCATGGCCAGCCTCAGGCTCTGGGCTCTCGGCTCGGAGCTGGTGCCTTACAACAGATTAAATTCATTTTACTGACACCAAGTTCTGTGGGAGTATCTGATTCAATTGTTTCAGCCAGCTCAGAGCACAAGTCACTGGAAGTCCTTGGTCTGTAGTAACACTTGACTTCCCAGAGAAGCCTGAAGCACAAGGATGGCTTGGCTACAAGCAGCTGAGCAGTGTGTAATTCCCATTTCTGCCTTGGGAAGTTTTTAAGTGACCTGACTGAACATCCCCCAATGCCAAAACGAGGGACAGTGCCAGGGCTGCAGAAGCTGTTTTATTTTTCCATTCCATGTGCAAGTCCCAACATGGGGATGTATTTGACACAGCAGCAGTTCAGTTCGAGCTCTGAGATATCATTTTTACCAGAAGAGAGTCAATCTGGGGGGTCACCCTGGCTTAGGGAGAGGTGTGAGTTCACACTCAAATAGGTCACCCAGAGACTGCCAAACAAGAACTGCTCCAACTGCCTGTATTTTGGAAGCCAAAAATATGTGGGTGGGGCAGAAAGCTCCAGGAGGGTCACTCTGGGCATCAGTGCCTGTACTCTGGGGGGACAGGGAGTTCAGCAGCTGGAGGCAGCTCTGAATGGACCTGAACCTCCTCAGCAAGAACAAAGCCAGTGCTCAACCACAGTGACTCTCTGGGCACACACAAGGTCACCACAATTCCCACAGGGATGGAGGGTGGCCCTGAAATGCACTGGGACACACAAACCCTGCACCTGACTCAACAAATCCCTTAAAAATGGAAGCTGTGCTCATGACTGAGCACAAAAACCGTCACTTTAAAACGCATCCCTCAAGTTCTGACAGCAATTAAATGCTTCCAACAGCAACTAAATGTTCACAGTTACTCCAAATAAAATTTTGCAGAACAAGACGTCAGCAAAATGCTTTGGCATTCTGACTCCAGGTTGTACCCAGCAGAGGACCTCAGTTCCACACTGTCAATTCCTGCATTTCTCTGCTGCCATAATAATGATCCAGATGAAACACCAGGAGGGAAAAGTGATCTTGCAGAACAATGTGGCTGTGCTTGTTTTAACACTGTAATGATTTTCTCTACTGCATTCTGACATCCAACAGCTTCTCTACCTTCAGTCCATGTTTGAAGATGCTGCTCTTTTGCACAGGCCTAATGTGGATGATCTCTGTTAAGGATGAAAGATCCCAATTTTCCTTGCTGTAGCTCATCAAACTCTGAAGCCATTGCCTTCCCAGCAGGATGCTCCACATCTTTTCTTTAAAAACCCAAACCATCTCACTGTGCACCAGTTGTGTTGCTGAATATACGGAAAAAACCCAAAATAAAGGCAATGGAATCCTCTCCCAGCTCAGGCAGCTGCTAACGGATCACAGTCAGCAGACAGGAAACTGTGGCCAGGTCTGTTTTTGAAGGATAAAGTACTTTCAAGTTCCCATCCGTGTCCACCACTCGCACTTGCTCCAGCACCAAGGGCAGGTTCAAATTCCCTGCTCCACAGAGAGCATCCGATTCCATATCTGAACCAGAGCCTTCCTTGTTCTCCAAGGCAGATCTGTTCAGCTCTGCAATTTTCTGTTAAAAGCAAAGTACAGAGAACAACATCAATTCTGTGGCAGAGAAGAAAGAGAGGGGGTAACAATACCACTAAAATACAAATCAGCTTCTGTGTTCTTCTCAATGCATGTGAGCAATGACACATTTGGTAAGAGCCCCCCAAAACAGAAGAATATTTTCCTGAACTCCCTACCAGGATAAGGGTGTCCATCACATCTTTGCAGATCTGTAAACTGGTATCACTTGTCACTTCCAGAAACAGGTCCCGGGTCTCTTTTCTAATCTGTAAGAGTTTCAGAGAAGAAGCAAGTCAGGAATCACAGCAGCTTACCCACAGCCCCCTGGACATGTCCCAGCACACAGAGCTGAAGGCTTTCACTCAGTTTCATCAGGGGCAAAGCTCTGCTGTTCTTTACAAATCAAAAGCCATATTCTTACCCTTCAACAAAGCCTTTGCACAGGCAGGCTAGTGCTTTGGAACAGATTTACAGAGGTAAAACTGTAACTAACTCCCAGATCCCTCTCAGTTTGACAGTGGAGCCCAT